CTGATCCGAGTACATGATCCTATTTCCTGCCCTCGTCTCCCGGTGGGACGATCGAATTCTTTTCTTACTTGTTCATACATTTGCACAATACCCCTTTTTGATGCCTTCCATTCTGAATTCGTCCTTTCATTTCTTCGATTGATACAGGCTATTATTTCACTCTTTTGGGCTTAGCGACTTGTATTATGAAACTCTGGGCTGCATACCCTTGTATCATTGCGTTCACATTTTATTTCCATCAGACAGGATGGTCAATGATAGACTTCTGTACTTGATCATCTCATCCATCTTGATCGCTTTTTCTTGGCTATTTTGGAAGATACCCGATGTGTAATTGTTTTGATTTATGTTCTGTCTCCATGCGCCCTAATTGGGTCAGCTGTTGGCTCAGTGTTGTGTTCTTCATCATTCCATGTCTTGATGCTTCTAGAAACGAAAGCCTAGAATACACTATGGTTACTCACAGTCATGCAACTTGGAAAACGCGATGGGCATTATATCATGGTCAACATCATCAACATCTCCAGCAGGGTTCACCTCAGAGTCCCACGTCATTGAAATGGACACTGTCGCATCCGCTGCTGACGAAGTGTCTCCTTGAAACCCTCCAATTCCTTGTACCCTTTCCCCTCAAAATACTTCGGCCCCAGGTCTTGGGTATGATACCCTTGTGGGTAATACTTGTCGCCATCGTCACCAGGCAAAGGTCGCCCGAGCGCCCACTTAAACCACGCCATCGGCCCCCAGCGGTTCCAGACTGTGGGCTGCACATAGAACGGAGCTCCTTCGTATACCAACACCCAGTTGCGGCCATGTTTGTTCGGTTTATCAGTGAACACGTCCAAGCGCATAAAGTTAGGACGTGGGAGTGATAGGTATCGCAGGTACAGTTGGCGGAGCTTGAATGTTAAGGCGAGTATACCGCTAAAGAATGCGGGTGGTTCTTTCATCCTAAAAAGCAAGTCCATTAGATGCTTTGTGTGCGTGTATGTGTGTGTGATCGATGATGAATCAAGATACATACATCATCGCAGTTCGCAGTCGATCTCCCATGAGATATGACACGAAGTATCCACCCAACGGCTTCAAGAAGTTTGGCACATTATATACCAGCACGTCAATCGTCTTTTCCGCAATCTCCTTGTTGCGAGGGTGTGGCTGCATGTGTTGGACTTCGTATTGCTCGCTCCATACACCAATATCCTCCAACCAGTGAATCCCGTCTTGGAAGCCAGTCTTTCCACAGGGCAAAGCGTCATAACTTATTCCCAGCGCATCGCCGAGGCTCTTCCAGTATGTCCCGATAGCGCAACGTTCCATGTCAGTCATCTCGCGCCACTCGAATTTTTTTACAAACCGGATCGGCTCGAGGGCAAATAGGCTTAGTGTGTATAACATGTCGGCTTCGAGGATCTTGCCGCTAGCTCGGTAGCCCTTGTGCAGGAAGTTGGTTCGGGCTATTGCAGTCTGCGCTCGCTCGGAGCGTGGATCGAACGCCATGAATTCACCTATCAGTGTGCCTGTGTCGGCATATCGTTTGAATGAGGTCGTAGAGTCTGATAACTGCGATGTCTTTAGGAGCAGAGTGGATATGGTTGGAATGCCATATGTCTGCCCGTGTTAGCGTTTAGTTATATCCTTAGATGAGCTTCGCATACACGAAAGAGGGCAAACTGCAGTGACTTGAGCACAATAAAGGGAAACTCAGTCTGCATGATTGTTTTTTGAATTGCCCAGGCATCTTGATCAGTCATGCTGCGCATCGATTGCCTCGTTCCAAGGTAGCTATATTTATTGTGGAGTGTCTGCCGTCGATGGAAACGCAATGAAGATACCAACGATAGATATGTTGCTAGCCCTAGCAGCACGCATAGTATCTGCTGATACGGTGAGGCTTGTAACAAGGAGCCGAATAACGGGGCATCCTTGATGCTGGATGTAGGGAGTAATGCCATCTCTATAGCAAGGCAATGAGAATAGCTCTGTAGGTATATATTTGAAGGATATTCAACCGGAAATAGTTTCCACTAAGATTAAATCACTGCACTTGATCTTATATACATTCATTTTTCTATCAACACATAGCCAAAATGACGGACCCGTCAAGTCGTGAAGCACAATATTGTAGATCTCATGTAAAAACGAGCGGACCGAGGAATATACTAGTAGGCTCGCGCGGGGAAATCTCACATCCCAAATGCATAAATTTGTGTATATGTGTGTGTAATACCATGGGATATTGTGCTAAATAAAACACCTACGAGCTATATTCAACTGTACAACAGAATTGTGTCTCCTATATACCGAGGTTTGCAATCAACTCCGGATCATTCGACCATCCGAGCCCTCTACGCCGGATTTGGGGTAAGATATGAGATCCAATCAGATCTTCATGAATCAGCCTGATCGACAATATAACTCGGTATTTCGGTCGGAGGGATTAGAACCGACATCGTACGATATGTACCTCACCTCTGTCTCCCCATAGGTAGACTTAGCCAAGAGTTTCCACTTCGGTACCTAATGAGCATACATTTTGCGTCTGATTCATACGGGCCGTTTACGATGGATATTGAGCCCTAATGTCACATGGGAAACAAGGACTCAAAACGCCAATCAATTGTCCGTTGTTCCCCTGTTAGATGTGGTGGCAAATTTCAAAAGGACGCTCGTATGGTTTCTTTTCTTTCCAGTTGCGCACAACATGATATGGCCTAGTTCAATCGGTTTTGGGGACATGGCAGATGGGAGAGAATCAAACGCGTTTATATGCCAGGATTTCATCATGCGCCTACGAAAGCAAGCCCCAAGCCCTTCAGGTGCGGCAATCTGTGGGTTACCAGAGTCTGTGAGAAAATGTATATTTATCTGGCTCGAATTTCACATCTCCATTCAAGGCTTTCTCGGCTGCCCATTGCCCACTTGGCTGGTGATGTTGTAGTCACCATAGCAAGCTTCCTGGTACATGGCCTCCTTGTTGAGATCGGGAATAGCGTCAAGGAACTTGTTGACCTTGCAGAACCCATTCACAGAACCATCACAGACCTTGAGACCATCCAGGGGCACGGGCGCATTATTCAACACAAATCGGATGTAGTCGGTAGTGTCAGACTTGGATGACAGATCCGGGTTCTTGTACTTCTGCACCTGGAGATTCTTGAACGAGACATCCTTGGGGCAGGTCCAAATTTCAGAGAACAGACGAGCGCCAAAGGGAGTCATTTGATTCAGATTGAAGTTGCGGGGCGGGGCGTGCGCAACCGAGACAGGCAGGCCATGAGGACCGTACTTGAAGTAATCCAGACCCAAAGCAGCCAGTACGGACACGATGATATCGTCGTGGGACATGTCCATGTATAGTGGCTGGTCGAGCGGGAAGGTCTTGGTGTTGTCATCGTACGTGTAGTTGATGCTACTGTCACTGCTTCTGATGAGCTTGGATTGCAGGCGCGCTGCTAGCTCCTGAACATATCCAATTCCCTGGGCACGGCCACTGGGGGAACCAAAGCCGTAATCGCCGTAGAATTGGAGATCGATGTAGTATTCAAAGTCGCGCCACTCCTGTTCAGTGAAGAGCGCGCAAAAAGAGGACTGGCCTAGGGTCGCATACTCATAGGGGCACATATTAAACATCGCTAGGATGTCGAGAGTATCGAGCTTGAAATCCTCGGGAAGGCGTGCAGCAATGCGCTTCCGGGCGCTTTTGACTAAAGACGAAGCGAAGACCCCGGCCGCGTTGTCACCCGGCTCCATGCCCTTGGGGCAGGAATCAGTCGAAGATAGGGTGTTGTTGAAATCTTCGACCTCGGGGATAATAGTCAGATTATACTCCGAGTATGAGCTGTTCGCTCCTGTGTTTCCAAAGAAGCCACTTAGCCACCAGCGAGCACTCTCCAAAATCCGGGGGTACGAGGTCGTGCGGAAAGTCGGCTTTGGGCGTGCGGTACCATTGGGATACACATTCAACGATGCATCCCAGGCCGCGTCACCATTTTCTGCGCGATACAGCAATCGGCCGTACTGACTCCAGAATTGTGCCCCGGAAGTGGCTTCGGTGGCGGCGCCAGTGGGGAGCAGAGTGTTCAAACCAAGCATATACTCCCAATCATTCAAGAAAGCCAGAGGTCCAGAGCCAATTTTCTTGTTTGGATGCTTCTTGGTGTAGTTGACCAGTTTTTGGGCAAAGTTCTCCATTCCTTCACCATCCAGAGGCCATTGTGTCGGATACCGCTGAGCATGGCGGTGTAGCACATGCACCTGCGACAGTTCACACTCCGATGGGAACCCCTTGGAGACATTGAAGCCTGATGCATCGGTATAGGGGCTGAGGTTGGCCCAGCTTGTTTTCATATCAAACCCGGACGGGTATGAGAGACCGGTGGGACCGGCTGCGGCCGAGGAGCTTGAGGCCGTTGCTGCAGTGCTGCCCGCAAGAGCCAGTAGGACCATGGCAGATGAGTGTAGAGATGCCATACTGATGCTATTGTGTTTTTTATTTTTATTTTTTTCCCTTTCTCTGGACATGCGACAAATTTCCAAGAACAATTGCGAGGAACGACTTATTAGAAGACCACCTTATCTGCCCTGTCTACCCTGTGGAGAGGGGGAAAGGGGATCGACCAATTCTCTTTCCTTGCGTGGAATCTCGTAGGCTCTTTTTCGCCGTTTAAATCCGGCACGATGTGACGTTACGATCCTCATAGTGTTATATTTTGCTTCGAGGGAAGATAAAGCTCTTTGAGCTGTGATGCTTAATATATTCAATCAGCCAAGGCTCGGGGGAAATGAATGCTTGGCCTCGGTGAAGTCCGTCGTCCCATAAGCTGTCCGACCAGGGACATAACAAAAGTCGAAATACGAGATTTTCAAAAGTTGACCAGCTGTGGTCATTAAATAGGCTTTTCTTTCCTATCGGGTGATGTATCAAAGAAAAGGTGAAAGAAGGCTGGGAGACCTCAGACACCTCTCTGCCAGCACTTGGAAACACTTTGGCTTTGAGATCAACACACTCCATACTCCATACTCTGTACTCTGTACTTAAATTCTATACGATAGCCCCAAAACACCCATTCGCTTACCTTGTACCAATTTGGGTCAGCGCAGACGCCATGTGGGTGCGGTTGCTCGTATCGAACACGAGTCATTGGAGTATACTTCTTGGCGGCGCTGAGCTCCATATCAACTGGCTCTGGAGCTCCAAATAAGACTCACCTTGTATTGCTTTCCTGTGTTCATGTTTCCAATCACGAGTTCCGTGAGCATGTGGAAGAAATTATAAAGACATAATGGATCCTGCCCTTTGGTGCCCTTTGGTGCCCTTTCGAGTAATTTTGTTTCTTTATTCTGATACTCTTGCACCTGCAGAGACTTTCAAAGTAGCTATAAACTATTTATATCGACTTCACCATGCTCGCGCTTAACATTGTCTTGTATGCCCTGTTGGGCACCTCCTTGGCCTTTGCCATTATCGAGCTGGGACTCTCGGCTTTCATCACTGCCGCATATTCTGGCACGCAAGAAATCCAGATCTGGAGCGCATATTCAGGCTATTCTTACAGCCAAGTCAATGTGAAACCTCCGGCTATCCTCGTCTTTCTTGTCTTCTCTTCTGTTTGGACTATCCTTGTGGCAGTTAGCGCCTTAGTACTGCCCTGGTACTATAGTCGCAAGGACTTCGTGACCGCAAAGCTCAACACTGTCCTCGCCGCTATCTTCGTGGCCATTTACTTCGTCACTATGGTGTTTTGGTTGGCATGCTTTGCTGATCTGGCCAGTCTCCTTGGTGGTGGTACTAGTATAAATCCCTACTACAATGCCGTGCTTGCCTTTGGCGTTCTCCTTTGGTAGGTCCCTCGCATGGTCTACAGGTAATACACAGTATACGTAACTGACCTGACGCTTAACTTATATCTAGGTTACTATTTGTTGCTCTCGTCATATTCACGATTCTTGCCATGTGTGGTGTTTTGGTGTCTGACTGGGCTGGGTATCAGTCCCTCAAGAAGAACGGAGTTGGTGTGCACCAGACTAATGCTAGCCCTGCTCGCGAAGTGCCGATGAGTACGAATCCTGTGATGTTCCGATGGTGTGATACTAACGATCTTCATCAACAGCCGAACAGCCAATCGCATAGCCTTTTCTCGCCCTCGGCCACAGTGCAGTGGGTGACTTACCCCCATACAGGTCCACCTGAGATCAGTTCAGCATAATCATCGCAGTTTGCATTCGGTCTATCACTGTGTTAGGAATAAGAATGATTTCGGGAATGGTTTACATCTTCGTGTTTTTAACACTATACCACCTACAGTACTAGTAATATGTCATGTCAATATTTGTTCCAATAGGATTATCAAGAGTATCTATATCCATACAATCCGCATCAAACTGCTACCGTGCTGTTGCGACTAATCAAAGTGCATGTGAGGTATATAGTCCAATCTATCGCTCGAACAAACTGGGCGTCGCAAGCCACAGCCATCCAGTCGCTGTAAAAAGCAGAATCGTCAAGCCCGAGAAGAAGATGAGAAGTAAAAAGCAAACCCAACATGTATGCCCAGGATATAATGAACCGGCTATCAAGAAAGACCAGGTACGAGATGGAATTCAACCACAAAAAAAAAAAAACAAAACGACAAAAGAAAAAGAGATGTAATGAGGCAATCAAACAGTGGTCTCTTCCACAGGCTCTTTGCCGCCGTGTGCATCCTCATGGTCGTGCTTGGACTTCTTCTTTTTCTTGTCCTTGTCCTTCTCATCCTTGCCCTTTTTGCTCATCGCCTCGGCCATAAGCTGCTCGAAGGCCATGTAATCGCCCTCTTCCTCGGGGTCGCGTGCGGCCTAAAAGCCAGAGGTTAGCATGGTACTCTAATATATGGGAAAGACGTGTATATATACCTTTGCGTAAATATTGCCGGCAATCACCAGCGCATGCGCACGCTCAATGCGTTTCTCAAGTCGGGTCCGCTTGTCGCTCAGAATCTGGTCACAGACATCACGCAAGACACTCTGGATCTCGAATTTGCTGCCACGCCACGCCGCGGCGAGAATCTTGCCAGTAACTCTCTTCTCGTATTCAGCCTTCTTCTCGTCAGTCCAGTCTTCACCACCGCGTTCCTCCATCTTAGCCATCTCCTCCATAGTCATCTGCGCATCAATGGCTGTCGAGATGGTGGTCCATGTCTCCTTCGCAAGGGTGCCCTTGTCCTTCAAGCGGGAGAAGAAGCCAGAGATACCTAGGAACTTCTGTGACTTGAGGAAGGACGTACCCTTCTGAACATAGGTTTGACCGACAGCGTGGAGAATTTCCAGACCGAAAGATTCCATCTTCAAGTTCTCAACTTCTAGTCGGATCTTCTCCTCGAAAGCATGAGACACATCCTTTCCTTTGTCCGTCTCAGTCCAAACGCTCAAACGATCAATCAGCTTGTTTGCCAATGTGTTGACACGGTCTTCGCGAGCCTTTCTACGTTCATCCTCGAAGGCGGTAAGACGTTCCTGCTGCTCCTTGGACAGACCCTTCTTTTTCTCCTTTTTGCGCAGCTCCTTCTCCTCCTGGGACAGACCGGCTGCCTCCATGCGAGCTTCTTCTTCGGATTTGTCCATGAGGGCCTGTTGGCCGAAGTTTCGTCTAGGAGTGCTTGTGCCAGAGCTCTGGTCGGAGGTTGGCTTCTCGGAGGGGCCAGCAGCTGCAGCTGCGGCTGCAGGTGCGGCTCCTGCCGCGGGATCGTGGGTTTCGGAAGCAGGAGCCGAATCGCCATTTGTAGCCTTCACTTCCTCGTCGTGGATGTTGAGTTTCTCTTCCGCAGACTGGGCCAGTTCTTCCTCCTCCATTTCCTGCATCGTAATGTCCATAGTCGCGGTGAGGTCTTTCATAAGAGAAATTTCGCCGATAAGATCAACAAAGGCCTCGCCACCAAAGATCATGCTGAAGAATTCGGACGGATCCTCTGTACAAGACAAATCAGAAACTTTGTGCTGGACATTGGCATACATGCGATGGACCTACCGAAACCACCACCAGGCACCGACTCCTCCTTGCCAAATTTGTCATATCGCTTGCGGAGATCTTCATTGCTCAGGACTTGGTACGCCTCGCCGATCTATAGTAGCAGGACATCAGCCTCGTGTAATGTGCATCATTTCTGGGGTTTCGCAACCATACCGCCTGGAAGCGTTCGTGCGCGGTTTCATCTCCAGGATTCTTGTCTGCGAGAACATATTAGAAGGAGTGGAAAAAAGAATATAAGGTCAAAGGCAGTCAAACCCGGGTGAGTGACAATAGCCAGCTTCCGGTATGCCTTCTTGATTTCCAGTTCGGTGGCCGTAGGTGGCACACCAAGGGCGTCGTAGTAGGCAGTATCGGCAACCATCGCAGCGACCGAGCCTAACTTGAGAATAGAGCGGGTTAAGGGAAGATATAAGTTCAAAAGAGTCAAAGGTCTGACGGGAAAAACAATAGACCTGTGTTGTTTAGGCAGAACCTCAAGATATTTTTCAGAGGTTGGCGCTGATATCATGTGGGGGAGACTTGTATGCATGGTTTGTTCTTAGTCACGTGTTAGCTAACTCCATTTAATCTGCTCTGGCCTTTTCCCCTTTTCCCTCTTTCCCCCCAATCTGCTGTTCCCCCAGGTTCTGTTGTTCTGTTGTTGTTGTCGTTGTTGTTTTTTTTTTAAAAAAAAAATTATTCTCGGCTTCAATTCCCCCCAATTTTTTTCCAGGTCCTGTTTCTGTTGAAGATTGGGCTACTTTGCCTTCTACCAATTCCTTAAACATCCGGCTTACGCGCCTCTTCCCCGCCCATCATGGGTCTCATCGGCAATGCTCTCTACTACTCCTTTCACCCTATGCAGCTGAGGGCGATTATCCAATGGTAAGCCCCGAAATTCACCTTCTGCTTGCGAAGCTAATCATCCACGTCGTGTAGGAAAGTTTGGCACAACCCGCCACATGAACGTAACGAGAAGAACGAGACCGAGAATCAGAAGACCTGTTTCAAGTTTTTGGATAAAACCAGCCGCAGCTTCAGTGCTGTGATCAAGGAGTTACATCCTGAACTGTTGATTCCTATCTGCATTTTCTACTTGGTCCTCCGTGGGCTGGATACCATCGAAGACGACACTTCCATTCCCCTGGTTACCAAGGAACCTCTCCTCCGGGACTTCAAGGATATTCTGACGCAAGATGGCTGGACTTTCACTGGGAACCGGCCGGAGGAAAAGGACCGTGAGCTGCTGGTTCAGTTCAACCACGTCATCACCGAGTTCATGAACATGAAGCCTGAATACCAGGCCATCATCAAGGACATCACCGAAAAGATGGGCAATGGCATGGCTGACTATGCCGTGAAGGCAGAGAAGGAGGATGCCAGTGTCAAGACCAAGGAGGAGTATGATCTGTACTGCTACTATGTCGCTGGATTGGTTGGCGAGGGCCTCACTCGCCTCTTCGTCGAGGCTGGGTTTGGTAACCCCGCTCTGTTGAAGCGCCCCAAGTTGCATAAGTCAATGGGTCTTTTCCTCCAAAAGACCAACATCATCCGTGACATCCGGGAGGACTTCGATGATAACCGACGATTCTGGCCCCAGGAAATTTGGTCCAAGCATGTCGACAACTTTGAAGATCTTTTCAAGCCAGAGCACCTTGACGCAGCCCTTAACTGCAGCTCGGAGATGGTCCTGAACGCACTGGAGCACGCCGAGGAATGCCTGTTCTACCTGGCTGGGTTACGAGAGCAGAGTGTTTTCAACTTCTGTGCAATCCCGCAGTCCATGGCTATCGCCACAATGGAGTTGTGTTTCCGCAACCCCGATATCTTCAAGCGAAACATTAAGATCACCAAGGGAGACGCATGTGATCTCATGCACAAGTCTACACAGAACTTATCCGTGCTGTGCGACAGCTTCCGCCAGTATACGCGCAAAATTCACAAGAAGAATACCCCCAAGGACCCCAACTTCCTGAAGATCAGCATTGTCTGCGGACAGATTGAGAAGTTTATCGAAACTATCTTCCCGACACAATCCGCCGAGGCCGCCAATCGTAAGGTTTCTGGTGAGCTCACTGCAGCCGAGCTACAAAAGAAGAAGGAAGACGACGAGAACAAAAATGATGTGTACTTCATGATGGCTCTCATGGGTGTTATCGTTGTCATTATCGCTAGTCTCATGATCTTCGCCGCCTGGATGATGGGCGCCCGGTTCGATCTTGCCTTCAAGGAAATCACGTCCGGTCACTTCCGGCCGCCGGTTAAGAACCAGCTTGAACACCCGGAGCTTTGATTGTCTTATTATTCTCACGTCCACGGCGTTACGACCTTTTATTGTCTAATATTTTCGATTCCCCCTCCCGACGGCATGTCTTACTATCTTCTCGCCCGTCCTCGGTGCCCCCGATGTGTATTGATAATAACATAACTTTTTTTTTTCTTTTTCTTTCGCCTGACACATTTATTAACCCTCCCATTTCAAACCGAACACCCTTTCTAGCACGGATGTCAAATTGCGATCTGGCCCTTTCATGGCCAAGGTTGCGCCGAAGAAGTGCTTATATCGAAACGGAGATTTATCTCCCTAGCCAGTGAGTACTAGATTTTTGTCCCACGGTTCGCCCGAGGTGGCAAACATCCATTGAAGATCTGGAATATCCCGTATATGTAAATTTTTGTATGTCTATAGGGAATGAAATCATCAGCCGTGGACGCTTGATACTTATGAATTTTTCCACGATAACTAAAAATAGACAGAACTGGAGAACAGGCCCCGAATCAGAAGTCTCTGCTCTCTCATCAGCCCCAGATTGCCCTCTGCATTACTCCGTACTACAGTCTTTTATATCTTTTTATTTCTCGGCAATAAATTGCTTCCAACTGCCGTCCCATGCATTTTCGCTTTCCTCGCCCCTTAATCTTGACATCTATTTCTCGGTCAGGTTTTCTTCCTCGAAGCCTCCTTAATCCAATGGGTTCCAGCAAGATGGCCTCTTCTTCTGGGGATTCGGGCGACTCTCCATTGTCCGCAACTGATTTCCGGACTTATAATCGTATGTCGGAGCAAATGGAAGGATTCGTAAGTTTAATCGTACATTTCTGTATTTCCTTTGCATAATTCCACTAACTCTCATGCAGCACAGCCATTTCCGTTTAACATGGAACCAGCTCTGGGAGGCATGCGAAAGCTCTGGAAAACGGGGACTCTCAGCCCGCCAGATGATCATGATGGGCCTTCAATTCTGCTCACAATTGGATTTCCATCACTCCATCGAGGAGCAACACATCTTCCCCGTGCTGGCGAAAAAGATGCCCGAGTTTCGAAAGGAGCTCGAACTATTGAGTCAACATAGACAGATTCATGCGGGACTTGAGAAACTCGAGAAATATCTTGAGAAGTGTCGGTCCGGCGAGGAAGATATGCGCCGCGAAGAGGTCAAACGGTTGATGGAGGGGTTTGGCAAGGTTCTGTGGACACACTTAGACCAAGAGGTTCAAACTCTTGGAGCTGCCAACATGCGCAAGTTCTGGTCTCTTGCCGAGATGCGTCGGCTTCCTATGTGATCCTGAAGAACGGTGGTAAGGTCTTGCAGTTGAAGGCAAGTTTTGACGATTTCATATGATTCTTATCTCAAAACTATATATCTGTGTTCGTGTGAATGAATTTAAACCTTCTTATTTCCTATTCGTTTTTGAAACATGCGGTTTTGTTTTGTTCCTAAGGGGTCTGATTCTGCTTCATCGATATCCATCACACGTGCAAGGTGTGCAGTTTGAACTGGCAGCCACTGCACAAAAATAGTTGGCTTCGCGTCAAGCGACCACTGCTAACAGGCTATACTGTTCCCGGAGGCTTGACCATGGAGGACTCAGGAATGTGAACGCGTTGTCATCCCTTGCTTGGTACCTAGGTATGTATGCACAACCGCACCCAGTCGACAATGCAAGAAGGCTGTCACGAGTTTTTCAAAAACTCTCTATCATTGTAATTAGTTAAGTTGTGTTTTCTATTGATGATGACGTCTTCCAGAAGAAGGACTCGTCAAAATCGGTAGATGACCTGAAAATGCCAGGTCAATAGTACGAAGTGGTCATATATAACCCACCAATATGGAACAACTGCAAAGCCTACATATGCAGAAATATTCAAACGGTATACAATATGCATTTTTAGTCTCGGAGGTGCGTGTCACTTCAATCTGGCGAGCCTCGTGGCAGATATCGGGGTCGGCGATCTTCGTCTGATCCGTCGTGGCTCCGCTGTCAGTTGTTTCTGTCTTCAGGAATGTGCCTTGTCATAGAAACGCGCAAGCTCGGCTGAGTTGCTCACTTGGCCCAGGTCTCACATCATGACGACAACGAAAAGGCAGCCTTGGCCTGGATCATGGACAATCAGCGGGAAAGAGAGAGGATCAACCCAACTACGCCAATTGCAGGTCATAAATCCGTGAATCAATGCTACCCAAATGTCCAGGAATAACCTGCTTTTCTTCCCTTTACATATCTCCACTTCAGCGGGTCCGTCATTGTATCTCATCTTGTGCCTGGGGTCATCAGTACCCCGCCACGCGCTCCGTTTCCCTATGCGGATTGGGCATGATGTCGTACCGCATGCAACTTACAAGAGGTGCAGGATATAAGTACCATCAAGGCTAAGCTCAAGAGATACCAGGCTAGTGATATCATATCTTCATCCCCTTGCTATCCATACCGTTCCAAGATCTTGTCAATCCCACCCCTATCACCGCCAATATGAAGTTCACAACCACCACGATCCTGACTACTACTATACTAGCAGGCAGCTCTGTCGCTGCCCCTCGTAACGGGATTGTTGACCGCCTCCAGGCCCGTAGCTCTCTGTTACGCCAGTCACTACACGCCGAAAAGAGGGGCGTTCTGCTCAAGGAAGGAACCGACGGAGTGAATGTCCAATACAGCAAGAACTGGGCTGGGGTGGTGCGCGAGAAGCCACCCGCCAGTGCTACCTACACCGCTGTGTCTGCGACATTCACCGTCCCCGAGCCAACGGCCACCGATGACTCTGGCGATATGCAGGCTGTATCAGCCTGGGTCGGTATTGATGGTGACACTTACACCGAGGCCATTCTACAAACTGGTATCGATGCCTATACCCAGAATGGTAAACAGACATTTGACGCCTGGTACGAGTGGTATCCATTAAGTGCGGAGAATTTTGACCTTGAATTGTCCGCAGGCGACGTTGTCGTCACGAAGGTTGAGGCAATCTCGCCCAGCAAGGGTGTTGCCATCATCGAGAACAAATCGAGCGGTCAGAGTGTTACCAAGACTCTGTCTGCACCCTCGAGCTCCGCCACCCTTGCTGGCCAGAATGCCGAATGGATAGTTGAGGACTTCAACGCCGGTGACAGCATGGTTCCCTTGGTCAACTTTGGTAAAGTCGACTTTACCGGTGCCCTGGCCGAGGCTGGTGGCAGGGAGTATGGTGTCAACAACGCTGCCGTTCTGGACATCCAGCAGAATGGCGATTTGAAGGCCCATGTGGAAATCCAGAGTGACACTGAGTTCTCTGTTACCTACCAGTAATTAAGTATGCATATCCATGGAGGTCTTTTGGTTTAGGAGTTGATGAGTTTGGCGTTTTGTACAATGGATGATACTCAACGAGACAAGAGAACATTTGCCATCAATAAATGGGAGGTATGCGTTTTCAAGTTCAATTTATTGAGATTTATAAAAAGAAACCAATGGTTTACCATGGCATATTACCCTGGGGTGAGGTGACCGTCCGATGGCTTTTTGTAGAAGTTGAATGTGAACAAGCGAACACGAGAGACGGTGAGCACTTCTTCGTCTCGGCAAATTATGAGTCATCGTGGTTGTCTGTTAACCTCAAGTTTAAGATCTATTGACTTTTTGAACATCTCAAATTCATCGTCCTTCTGTTCGCCATGAAAGTCCAAATAGAGCCGGCGCAATTCCCCGCAGACGCCGATTCCATCCTGTCGTTGTTTTCTGGCTATGCCGCATCCCTCGGCATCGACCTCACCTTTCAATCGTTCCAAGAGGAACTTGATTCCCTTCCTGGGAAATATGCCCCATCGCAAGGGGGGTCTCTTTTGATCGCACGGGCAGACACCGGTGTTCAAGAACATCATACGAACGGACTAGTCGACTCAATATCTTCCCGGTTTCCATCTACCCTCGGATGTGTGGCACTCCGGCGTAGTTCCGATGGTTGGTGCGAGATGAAGCGTCTGTATGTTCTTAAGGCAGCTCGTGGAGAACGCCTAGGTGAAAAACTCGTCGAAGCAATCCTCACGCAAGCCAGAGATCTGGGCTACCGCGGGATGCGCCTAGACACACTGCCTGAAATGAAAGTGGCGCAACGGCTATATCGGAAGTATGGATTTGTGGATATTGCCCCGTATTATGAAACTCCAATTCAAAGAACAGTTTTTATGGGTTGTGAATTTTTATGATCATACATCTATCTCTTCTTTTCCCTGGCCTGTATATATTACGAGGGACAGACGCCAAGGCGAAAAATGTGCCCAACTATGCAGTATCGATCATGTCGACCCAACGATATTCAACCCTTTTCATGCATCCGGTGTCTTCTGTTTCATCTCAAAAGTTCTGTAATTGAAGAATTGCTAGGACGATCTAACACCAATTATAAATCCACTTCCCCTAGGCGACTCGGAGATAAGTGTCGGGAATTTCCGAGTCAGGTCCGCGGATGAGAGAGTGTAACGGTATAAATATGAGAGGTTCGTGACAGGAAGCCAGTGGATATATCTAAAAGTCCTAGAGCCTCTTCATTATGATAGCATCAAACCCGCCTCTTGACGTCCTCGTCATCGGCGCCGGAATTGCCGGTCTTTCAACAGCTATTGCTCTCGGAAAACAAGGGCATCGCGTTGTGGTATGCCTCCAGAAACAACCATCAAGCTTGCTGTAACATCAATTTCTCATTTTACTTAGATTCTGGAAAAATCGGCTTTTTTGAAGGAAACAGGTGCCGCGGTTCATTTGCCGCCGAATTGCACTGCCTTGCTACGCTGGATGGGCATTGACCCGGCTGATTTTGGGGGCACATTGCTTCATGAGGTTGGATTTGCCCCTTGATCAGAGAAGTGGCTCAAATTAATCGTCTGTGCTTTCTCCAGATCCACCGATATGGTTTTGACGGGGAGTTGACGTACAAGAGAGAGTTCGCCGACACTCGTCATCATTGGCAAGCAGTAGGCGAATGAAGCAGACTAAGCTAGGACAACAGTCTAATTCTGTCACAGGAGTGGTACCTCGTGCATCGAGTTGAGCTGCACAATCACCTGAAGCAACGTGCTCTTGAAACTGCAACGCTGTATACACAGTGTATAGTCACCAAGGTCCATTTGGAAGGGGCTTCCCCGTCGGTCACTCTCGATGATGGTCGCACTTTCAAAGCCGACGTGCTCCTTGGTGCAGATGGACTGCATGTATGAATATTAGATTATCAACGCCGATTTTTATCCGACTCTCGTCTCTGTTCTGACTGTTTTATAGTCCCAAATTCGCCGGAGTATAGCCCCAGATTCTCCCTCCCCATACCCGGTTGGCAAGTCATGCTTTCGTTGGCTTCTCCCCACAGATCAATTAAGGCAACATGCAAGCACTGTGGAGTTTGTGCGAGACACTGGCGTGTTTATTGAGTGGGAATCTGGTGACCGACGCCTCGTGGCTTACCCTTGCTCTGATAGCAAAATCCTCAATATTTGTGCTTTTGTCCCTTTGAATGAAGTTCAGGCAGATGACCAAAGCGACGGTAAGAGTTTCAATTGGGAGTTGACATAGAAAGACACTGACAAATTGGCATTAATAGGTTGGCAGGCAGTTGGAGACAAGACTACAATTGTCAAGGCGTTTTCTAAATTTTCCCCCGGTGTTCAGCAAATCATTGCGAGCGCAGACAAGAACCTCAAAGTATGGGATTTGTATGATATGGAGGCACTGCCGACCTGGACTCGAGGCCATGCTGCTCTTCTGGGAGACGCAGCACATCCGTTCCAGCCATGTAAGCAACGGAATAGCTTCGTCCCGACAAACGAATGCGTAATATACACTGACAACTCGATAGACATGGGACAGGGAGCAGCTATGGCAATTGAAGATGCCGTTAGCATTGCTACCTTGCTTCCTTGTGGCAGCACACCGCACGATATCCCCATGCGACTTGATCTGTATCAAACGGCTCGTCGGCCAAGGGTCGACCTTGTCCTCCACTACACTCGGATGAATGGACGGGATGAAAATGATGCAGCCGGTGATAGAATTTCAGGTCGGTTTGTCTTTACAGCTGAGGAATATACTCAAGCTGACAGTGATAGCTGCCGAAATGGTGAAAATCATGAACATTTGTTTCTCACATAATGAGATTGAGCATTCTACAAACTTGCTGGATGGTAAATCAACAGATTAATGTCAGTGAAGAATGAGATTGAACTGTGGACAAAAAGAAATAGGACAGTACATGCGCTCTCAAACGGTTGACAGTGCCTTGGGAATGTATACTATTTGCGATGTTCACACGGAATGGGCGCTGAAGGCTCGCAGAGGTTGGAGTCCTGCTCGCCCCCGTACGAGCTGAGATAAGAATCAAGAAGATGCCTCTTTATACAAATCGATTTGTTTATTCATAGCTTGTTATATTTGAGCTCACCAACACAATTAACTAACTATCCAGTTTATCATCGCACACAAGCCCATCAATTACTAACAGAGCTGAAGTCAAAGAAATAGAATTTTGCTCCTGACTACTATGTTGTATATAAGGCGCATGTTAAACCCAAGGAATACATGTCTAAATGGTCTAGATATAGATGTATCTTGTGGATATTCTTCCAGAATTCTTCAGGTTGTTGATTTATATGCAACTTCAGGCATAAATTTAATGCCTTAGGCTTTGAAGCTCGGGCCAATCACCACCATTCTTGGCCGTTGCGCCCCTTAAATTAATAAACAGTTGAGCCGCCGGGGATTCCGTGAGTATCATGTAGAAAATGTCATCTGAATATTTAAGCCCAAGTTATCCACCGGATTCATTTCGCGTCAGACGGAAACCCGTGTCAAACCCGAACTTGCGTGCTACGGCGCATGCCGATCAGCGGGAAGCAACAGCCTGGGCTGCCAGTACCCCATCTCTTGTGCCCCCATTACAGCCCCCGTCATATACGGACCTTTATGGACCGCCGCCTCCTAGGCCTATAAGTCCAGGCTCACTGCCGCGACCAAGGACAGCGGGGCCAACTTCATCCTCGACTCCCCCGCCGCCGACGCCTGTTCAAAAGGCATACAGCGAAGCGCGGCATTTCCTCACCGGTCTAATCAATCGTCCGACAGAATCAAACAAGCATGTCACTATTTTGCGACATTCCCATGGACTAGTTTTCTACCGTGGACCGACTACATCGGTCGCTATATCAATCTTCTCTGATGCCCCCTTACCACCTGAACACACCTTGTGGTTGCAGAGCAAAGGTTGGAGCGGGAAGACCGGGATGCAATTCAAGTCGTTTCTCCGTCTCCGGGATAGCTGGCTAGACGTGACCCCGGGTATGCCATTGAGGGCTGACCAGGTGACTCCAGATGATGAACGAGCTTGGCAACGCGACATCAAGAAATTTCGGAAGAAGGCCCCGCCTCGTCCACGCGATACACATCAGCTACGTGAGACTGCCGTTGTGCGGATTCCCGCTGAAGCCGGCGATGGGTATTTTCAGCTAGTTCTCTGCCAAGGAATTAAGAAAAAGGTGCTGGGCAATAGCCCCGTCTTCCGGGTGCTCTCTACATCCACTGCCCCCAGCTCTATCCGTGGCGCGAGCTTGAGCACGCTGCCCCTGGAGGTTGGGGCTATGATTGTGAGCCTTTATGCTCAAACTGCAGCGCGAACCGCGGCAGGTCCTGCTGCGATGGCCATTCAAGCCAAAGCTGCCCCGTTTCAAGCCAAAGCTGCTGCGGTTCGTCCATCGTGGGTGACAAAGACTGCGGTTCAGAAGGCTTACACTACTAGTGGCATCGAAAACCGCGTGGGCGGTATTATCAATGGCCCCAAAGGTCCTATTGGGAGTCCTCAGATAAATGTAGTAGCGCCAGAAATAGCTGGAAGCGGCCCGGTCTCTATCGATGTCGGTCCTCAACCACCATTCCCTATGACATTCAAAGCTCGCTGTCAAACGGATCAAATTCCAGACCTCAGCAACTCTGACGATATACCGAAGTTAAGCTTGATCAGAATGCCCGACTGGGTAACAGAGCAGTTAAGGGGCTACTTCTTCGGCTGGGCTCGATTCGACTCCGGGCCGAGCAAAGGTTCCTCGACTGGTGAATGGTGCCCAGCTATCTTGTCCGTGCGAGCATTAGATCCCCTCCAGGCGGTGAGAGTGAACCTGGCTCAAATATCGAAACGCGTGGTTGCAATTCGCCTGCTCGAGGATGTTTCTCTCCCAACAAGCAAAATCGAGATTCGGGTTCTGGGATACCTTCGCGCTGAAATCCCACCACCCACCGGGACCACGAGTAAAGAACTTGCAGAGGCGCAAGCGGCAGCTGCAGAGGCGGCTTTGCTCGCTGATGTATATGACGCATCTGTTGTACAGGATACTCTGGCTCATCCCGCATGGGTCGCAGAACACCCGGCGACCTCGGACCTTCAACAAAACTCGAGTTGGATCGATCGCACAGTCGAGGGGTATACCAACATCGTCACCCGTGGACAGAAGTTGGTAGAGCAAGTTCCATTGCACCTGGTTGGTATTCGCTCTGTTACCGATGAGCTCAGAGAGAGCCAAGTTGCTGTAAACGGGTTTTATATAGTCCGCTAATCCTTGTCAATTCGCTCATGGACCCTGTTGCAGATCCACGGAGTTTACTATGTACAACATTCGATATATTGTTTCGTTACCCAAGATGTGATTTCAGCCGTGAAGTTATCAGTTACAAAAAGCTTTTAGCCAGGCTAAATCCAGTTGGATGCCTCCAAATGCCCAATATTTATAAACATACATAGCTTTTGTCAAATCAAAATCAAAATCACTCACGGTCCCACCGGCGGCTGCGAAGCCGCCAAGTTACATTGGCGGAACAATCGCACCTCGTCAGGTTTAAACGCACCAACCACGGAATGCAGCACGCCGCGGTTGTTAAATAACACTAAATCATTATCCTCCCAGTCATGCGGATACACATACTGAGGACTGATGGCTGGCCGCTGCAACTTATAGACAATATCCCGCACGCGGGCCAAATCGTCGATCGTGGTTCCATCGGCACAGTGGATACGGCGCACGGCAGAAGGATGGATCTGTAGGGCCAATTTGCCCGTCACTGGGTTTTTCCAGGTCATCGGGAAGACCATGATCTTACTAGGGTCGATAGGTGGCAGTTCCGAGTCGGATAACTCAAGGCCTTCTGAATGCATACCGAGCCCCGTAGATCGGGAATGGGCTTGGCTCATCCAAATATATCTGTCATGATGTTTAGTTCATTCGATCGAAACCATAGGCATATCATAGGAGAACTTACGGATGAGGGGCATATTCCATTTTGCTCGCCTTGACAAACTCCTTATCTTCGGGGGAAAGAAGTTCAAACATCCGCTCACCACTGACAAATGCTGTTGTGCCAAGTGGTACATCCATTGTTTCTCCTGTTCCATCGTCATACAATAATGTCTGTCGGCGGCCTTTGGGCACACTCACAGCCATGAGCGTTGTCACCTGGGGCGGGTATAGGTCGTATAGTGCAGCATCGATGTGCCAGCGATAAAATCGAGTGAATTCATAGTCCTCTTCGTCCGGGATGTGATCTTGGTGGAATGTACGGTGGTGAGGGTGTCGTAATGTGATATCTTTGAGACCCTCGTACGAATCAACGTGTCCATTCCCAATCACCTGAACCTGGGGCTGGTGAGGGACAGTTTTGAGATCAGGATGAAGAATGCTTCGCTTCGCATCGATGGTTTTGCCATGTCCATAGTTGTCGGAGACTGGATCGAAGCGCTTGGTCAGTTCATACTGGGCCTTGGGTGATAGCCCTTTCTGGTGTTTGAACACCACGACATGGTGCTCATAGAGGGCCTTCCGAATTGTCCCAAACTGCTCATCTATACGATCATTAGCTTGTGCACTTGTATTTGGCAAGAATTCACGAACCTGTTAGGTTTTCCAGATTAACACCTTGAATCTCAGCACCGAAATCAATGCTTGAGCCCGGAGGAGGTTGAAGCGGGCGGACAGTAAGTGGTAGCACGGCCATGATTTTGGGATTCTTCGAGTTTTGAGGTTCACAGATCAGACTAGGATGCTCGTAGGATGTTCTACACGACAGACCTTATAGTTATGGGCCGATAATAAAAGGTCTAGTTCTGTAGACCAGATTGTGGACGGTCAACGGCGTATACCGAATCTTCTACCGAACATGACAGAATATGTGGGACGAAGGGAATGATAAAGAGGTTATAACTGGTTATTTCCCCATAGGAATCGTTTGATAAGCCAACACTCTGAATTACGGAGCAATAAGATGTTGGGGCATTAGTTGTTATTGGATGTTACGGGGTATTAGTATGGTGATAAGGCGGGTGAGTGATAGCAACACGCCCGCTAAAATATTTGATATTACGTCATCGGCCAGCAAACGTGATAAACGTAACAAACGTAACAAATATGGGAAGGTACCAAGGTTCGAAGGCTCTCCAGGGTAATTACTCACTTTACCTACTTTATCCCTCAATTACCCTCGAGGTACCCTTACATTTGCTATATATCACCAAAACTTCCACCAAGGCCCCCGTGGTTTTGGTGGTTGCTCAGCAGCAATAATTTCATCCAAACCAGTGTGCATATCAACTTCCTCTGGGCGCCATGCCCATGGATCACTCCAATACAGTGCCCGATGTCCGAAGTAAAGAATTAAGAAAGCAGGAATACCGATGTATGCGGTGAAAAAGTTGCTCACAGACCATTCCGATGGGAAGAATACTGTGAACCCGTTGATGAGCGTCATGAGAGTGGCACCCGCGAGGCCAAAGTAAACCCCATACGGCTGCAGCTTTGATTTATACGGTTGTTCAATGCCCTGTGCTTTGACGGCTTTGCGGAAGCGGAAAAACACCACGGAACAGCAGATCCATGAGATAAAGCCAGAAGTGTTTGTGAAGTTGACGAACCAGTTGAACACAATTGAACTGGAGTTGCCGACAGCAAGATAAGCCAATGCTGAGAAGCATGCTGAAGCCGAAACAGCCCAGTATGGGACACCCCATCGGTTACATGTCTTGAACACATGCGGCGCATTTCCTGACATAGCCAAGGAATAGAGCGACCGCGAAGACATGTACAGGAAGGAATTTCCTGCAGACCAGGCCGATGTCAAGACGGCAGCATTCACGATGTGGTCCAAAACCGGGATTCCGGCATTCTGGATGCCGATCACGAATGGAGATGAGCTTACTGTGCCGTCGCCCTTGGTCAGACGGCTAGCATCTGATGGGCAAATAACACCAATAGCTAGGACACCAAAGATGTAAAAGAACACCAATCGGTAAATGTATCTCCGTGCTGCCCGAGGTATATTTCGCCGAGGGGACTCCATCTCGCCGCCACTGATCACAATCAGCTCTGGGGCGAAGATGAACGCAATAGCGCTGGATACTGTGCATTTCAACAAGGCCACGAACCGGCCCGAATCTCCCGTCGTGAGATACGCGTTGAATGGGCGCGGATTCTTCCAATAATGAAAGCCCAGTCGCTGACGATTAGGTCCCCCACCCCAGAAGAGGATGAAAGATACCATCAACAAGCCGACCAGAGTGATGATCTTCACCCCAGCGAACCAGAACTCCGCCTCACCGTATACTCGAACGGGCATAAAGTTGAGCGCGATAATGATGACCATCATGATTGTGATCCACACGGCGATGTTGATCGATCCACTCTGGTCCCAGTATCCAATAACCAGTCCAGCAGCTGTGATCTCATACGGCACTAAGATTCCGAGAGAGTACCAGTATAGATACCCCATGGCGAAACCCATACTCCGCGACACATAGCGAAATCCATGATAACTCATTGTTCCGCCATGTACCGGGAGGTAGGCACCAACCTCAGCGATAGCTGTGACCAAACCATAAACCATGGCCGAGATGAAGATATAACCTAAAAGAAGCGACGCGGGGCCTCCAATGGCCAGGGCTTGACCGGAACCCACGAAAAGTCCTGACTTGTGTGAGCAATCTTTTGTTTTTTTATGTCGAAACCCCGTAAACTTACCCGTTCCGATTGTGCCTCCGAGGGCCATTAGCTGAACATGGCGATTTTTCAAACCACGTTTAGTGGTGGTTGCATAACGATCATCGAGTAGATCGGCTTCGACCAAATTTCTAAGTGCTTTGCCCTTCTCGCTGATGGGATGATGATTACCCCCATAGTTGCGGGGTTCGGTCTCTATTGTCGCCATCTTGTGCGACAACGAAAGGGGGAAAATGCTGAATAAAAAATGAAGCGATCGACAGGAATGTGTGCTGCATTTAAATGGGGGTTTTTTTCTCTCACAGCCCAGTTTCATCCCGTCGTACAGAGACCCTCAGCCACGCGATATTAAACCGCTATATTTTGGGTCGATGACTGGTCAGTAGAGGGGTCCGTGGCCGCTTAATGGCAGTTAGGCTCGGACAAAGGTACATTCCTGGGGTAACCGACTAGGCTTTTACCTGAAGGTAAGACTGCCAAATTGTACGAGACCGTGTAGGCGCTGATTCTGGTGATATTCATTATTGTGACGTCTTATTTCCCGGTTTTCCTAGTGTCCATAGCACATAATCTACAGGGAAAGTTGACAGTCTAGTGGGAACAGATAAGGAAGGGTAAAACCCACAAGGCTACTATGCTAAGTCCCCCCTTGGCGCCCGTGGATGGCATCGCGGTAGAACGAAAGAAAATCTGTCACCTCAAACATTCTGATAGAGAAAACGAGTAAACAAAGGCCCCTAAATGATAACAGCACCGGTCCGGTAACCGGTCTGGGGGATAATATAGGCCGCAATAAAATAGAAAAGAAAAGCGCCGGGTAAAAACTCTGGGCAAAGAGATTGGGCAAAGAGCAATAAAAAAAATCTCGTGTTGGAAAATGCTGGAAAGTCGATACTACACCAGAATAGGAAATATAGTTCAGATCCGACGAATCAGGCGTCATTGCTATTCCATAATCGAACTAGCGTGCATCGGTCAAAGGTGCATACTAAGCTCGAACAAGCTATGCCGGGAATACATTTGGGCACATGGCACCTTCCAAGATATCGTATTGTTGCATGACACCTCGTCTTTTTGGCTGTATGCCTCGACCATGAAACATGTATTAAATGACCATGCGATTAAGAACCAAAGAAATTTCCATCCAGTAATACAAACTTAACCAAGAGCAAGCCCCCAATCCGTCCATCTTCCCATTCACACTAATCCACGACGCCGCCGTAAAGGAAAAGGCCCTCTTATTGGTTGTCGCACTACAACCTAGGGCTTGTCGATCAAGAACTCGTTTAGGTTAAATGCCAGCCTTTCTGTTGACTACCACACTTGAGGAAGAGTAACCGCGGTAGCGGGTGCAGCATCCGCAACTTTCGTGCAGTGCATATACCGAACTTTTCCGGAAGGGATCCGAATGGTGTGCCAGGATCGTTCACAGCAACTATAGGCAGTATGTCCGTTCGATATTGTAGAGCTTTTTGGGTTTGTGTTGCAGACATTTTGTATAACGATAAACGAGGCGTCCTGGTGGCTTGCGCTCCATGAGTTCTGCCATTCGTTGTAGGTGTTGGAAGTATTAA